TGTACAAATCGACGCGTTTCAGAAAGGCGGGGCATAGAGGAGCAACAATAATGTACATTATATGGTAAATAATGTTTTTTTTGAACCTTAAACCACATAAACACATTGCATTACACCAAATACACAAAATAATGTTATTTTTAGCAGCATCATCAATTTTGCATAATCTGAAAATAACCACATTCCTATTCAGAATATTCTGCATGTCTGCAAGTTTGTTTTGTTTTTTGTCCAAGTAAAACACCTCAAGTACTCAAATACTTAGTTGTTACTTTTTCCCCATCAAATTTATGAAGCATTTAAAATTTCTAAGCAAGTATACTTTTGATATAATTAGGCTTTTCTTACCTTTAAAATTTTCCAGCAGCTGCTTTTTCTGTTCTAGACTTAAACCGGGATAAATTGTGGTTGTATTTTGCCATTGTTCAAGTTCTGTGTTCTCTTTATATGTAAATGTCCTACCAATCACAACAGCAAATAAAATTAAAACTGAAAGTACAAGGATTAACAGCAGTATTCCAAAAAACTTCAAAATTGTCTTCTTCGTGATTTTGATCTTCATCTTTCAGAAGTTCAGGAGTAATGACAGTCATCTGCATGATCAGGGTTCACATTTTTTATTGCCTAACTGGTGATGCAACATAAGGGGCCAGGGCTTGTGTGGTATAGAGCTAATCACATATAAAAAGCAATTGAGATTTTTTTTAACCATCTGCTGAGTAACCAGGAATAGAGTAATCAGTTTGAGCAATAAAGATATTGAACAATATTATAGATCATTAGATATTGAATAAATGAGCAGTTTGAAATAATCTACAGAATATTGAGCTGCAGTACTCCAAATAACTGCCTTCATTAATCTATCGGTCCCTTACACCATTACATCACATTTTAGAGGTTCACACAGTACAGCTATTAATAAGCTAATTTAATAATTTTCCCATTTTGGCTGTCTGTATTTTTCAGGGCCATTGGTCCCATTTACACAAATTTGGAATCTAGAGACCCTCCTGGTGTTAATATAAATTAATTTGCACGTGTATCTTTATTAGTACACAGAGAAGAATCTTAGGATAACTAATTTATTTACTCACAAATAAAACGAACAAACAAAAAGTACACATTAAAAATGGCAAGATAGATATGACTCATTAGTCCAGCTGTGTAAGACTGTAAGAGAAGAATGTGATTTGTTTCTGTGTGAGTTAAACTCAAATAAACTGTATAAAATACACATCTATGGTAAAAGATTAATCGGAGAAAAACACACCATGCACAGGATTAGCCAACTACATGTCTCATCAATTCAAGTATATCATCCTATATGGTTTTTGAAGGCAGGCATTGTGGCAGAGAATGCAGGTGTTCTGATGTAGCTCTCTTTGGGTTTCATTCAGTCCGATCACACAAAGTTTCCTCTGACACCGGTTTAAAAAGATAATCTTCTGAAGGACACTTGGCTGACTAGAGCCTGAGGTAAATTTGAATGAACCTTCTTTGGCATCAGTGTTGCACACCTAAGCTGTTGTGTCCGTGGCAGATTAGTCCTGTGAGGTGGATATGAGAGCAGCTTCATGCAGGCCTTCGAGCAGAGCAGTGAAAGGATTGGAGAGCGGCTCCTCCATGGATGAGTAGATGAGGTACAGCAGGCAGACCACCAGGAGGAAGACCATGATCTGAACCCACAGAGGCACCAGGCGCTGCTGAATCTCCTGCCTCTCCAGTGTAGTGGGACTGAGTAGTGGCATTTCAGGGTATTTAAATTGCACAGGGCGGCCTGCAGCTCCCTTTATAGGCCGTCTCTTTGTAGCACTGCAGGCGGAACAAAAAGACCTTAGAACATATTTACAATGTTGAATTGAAATATAGGCATGCAAATCAATAGTTTGCGAACAATGGTAGTACTCAGTTATGAGCAAAGTATCACAGATGGTACTCACTAGATTCCAGTGGGGGTTCTGGCAGTGTCAGGAAACATCTCTGAAAGAACATCAGTCACAGGTTCCTATTGGCCAGAAAAAAAACAAACAAATAAAAAACCAGCCTGAATAAGAAAACAAACTCATAAATGTGCAGTCTACAAATGAAAGAGGAAGAGAATTTAGAATGAAACAGGCAAACAAAATATGAGGGAGGATGGAGTGAAAAGGAATAGAGGAATACCAGCCCAGACTCATGAAAAGCATGACAGATTTGTAAGTCATGTGGAAAACACAAATCACAGTGCAAGAGGCAAGAGTGAATTTCAAGGCTATATATATATATATATATATATTTTTTTTTTTTTTTTTTTTTTTTT